CCAAGCCTTGTATGCACATATGAATAAAAAAAAAATTGGAGCGCAGAATGAGTCTGGGGAATAATACAAGCTCCTGCCAGTCCCCTGTATGATGGGCAGGGTTCGCATTAGTTTCCCATACAATGTTTTCTAGATAAAGACAGGCCGAAGCCCTGGCCAGCTTGCCCACCTTGCCAGTGTTTCAGGTGGACTGGGACCATCGTTCTTATGAGCTCTCCAGCCACTGCCTGGGTGGACGGGGCAGAAAAACTTTTCTGGTCTTTGCTGTATCACTTCCAGATAACCCAAGATAAAATCTGGACCACAGCCAACAACTTGATCATTGAGCTGTTTTATCCTTCCCTCACCCCATTGAGCTGCTTTTACTCAACTTGCTTTTCAGGGGGCCAGGCCCTCATCTTGTATCAAGGAGTCCAAACATAACTTACTGAAACCTGCTTGGATAGTGACCAAGAGTCCAGTTGAGGACGTTATCCTGTGTCCCCTTTGTGAAGGTGCAAGGAGACATTTCTTTCAGAACTAGGTGACAGAAAAGACTCTAATGCTTTTGCCCCCTTGTGAACAATGAGAATCAGAATTGTAGAGAGCATAACTGATTTTTTTCCATGAATAATCTTATGTTGTAAATTATTTTTCACCGTAAATCTGAGAGTTTACTTACAGTTTCATTAATTGAAGGCTATCATCACCATATTTTAAAACACTGCTTGAAGAAAATAACCATGTTGTTGGTGTGTGTGAGAGTGTGCATGTTAGCAGTAATGGGATTTGAACTCAGGGCCTTGAGGTTGCCTAGCAAGCACTCTACCACTTGAGCCATGCCCCCAGCTCTTTTTTGCTTTATTTTTCAGATAGGGTCTTACATTTTTGCCCAGGGCCAACCTGTGCATATGAGCTGGGGTCCCAAGCATGTATCACCATGCCAAGCTTATTTATTGAGATAGGGTTTCACTAACTTTTTGCCTGGGTTGGCCTCAAACCAGGATCCTCACAGCCTTCACTGCCTCCCGAGTGAGTAGCTGGAATTACAGGTATGAGCCACCACACCTGGCCTCCTCTCGTGGTTTTAATAAATACTCTAAATAAATTTAACAACACATTTAAAAAATTGAAAAAAACATGAATACTAACTATGAAAAGACTGTTGATGTCACTGTGGTTTATTGGGTAAATACAAAGTGTAAGCTCTTGCAGAGTTTTTTCTTTGTAAAGCAAAACCAAAGAGATTAGAAACCAAGTACACACATCCTCTTTTGAACAGAAACATAAATTAGTGTTAACCAACAATTAGGCACTTAAAAAATGTAAATGCAAGATGGCATTTTTGAAGTATAAATTATAGTTATACTCCTGAATTCCTCCTGAAATGCCTTTACAAACACAAAACATAAGAAAAACATATTCTAAACAAAGACAATTTCCTTTTTTTTTTTTTTAAAAAAAAAGAACTTGAATTCAAATCCCATATGATAGATCAGTGATTAAGGTACTGGTGGATAGGAGAAAAGTTTCTGACATTTACATATTTGATTAAAATGTAAGCATTTAATAAAACTATTACAATAGCATACAATAGATATTCTAATGAAAAATATATGTCAGGAAAATAATGAATTCTAGACTTAAATTTTTTACTTTACAACAAGGCACTTAACACATTGAAACAGTACAGTCAATTTCCAAAAGAATGTCGTTGACCACCTCTCAGGCTTCATAGTAATATCTCTTTTGTGAATATACTATAACTTAATCATACAATTTGCAGCATTAATCATTGCATAGGAGGTAACTTAAATAATGAATTCCAACGTGGCAACTCAAGTAGCTTATATTTATGGTTTCTTCTTTTTTCTTTGAAAGGACAGTTGTAAAGAATTCCACAGTCAAGCGCTCTTCCCATTCATGATTCATTTAGAACACAACATAGTTGGATTAATGAGCAATAAAGTAGACCAGAATTTAAAAATGTGTCTATCTGTATAAAAACTTATCTTTGGGTACCTTTGACATGATTTTCAGTGTTTGGATATCAAAGTCAAGAGCACTTCTTCACAAAAGATCATTTTTACCAATCAAGTTAAAAGAGTTAAATATTTGCAAAATGATGACATTAAAAACAAAGCCACCAGGAACCTGATACACACAAGCAGAAAGCCTTCAATACATTGCATATAACTTACAATATGCCTGATTTAAACATGTAAACTCATTTATTAAGAAATTCCTTCTCACACTTCCTTACACTACAGAGGTGAGTGTGTTAAGGCCGGCTTAAATTTTTAATCAGTTTTACAGTACAAAACAAAAACAAAGTTTAAAATATTCAAGGAACAAGATGTGAACTTTCAGTTTAAAAAAAGAAACTATGAGTTCTAGCGTGTCAATTTTTTAAAAACAAGAAAGACAGTGACTTGGGGTTTCAGAGTAAACAAACTATACATAGTTATAAAGGGAGACATTAATGATTGTGATAGTGAGAGGTAAAAATGGTCTGTAAATTTTCTTTGATCAAATGGAGAAAAGATTAGAATTGCTATTACATATATTCCGAACACACTGTCCCTCTGGAAAGGGTTTTAAATGCCTTAAAGTAATTCCTTTCCTATGGTACTTTCAGATTACTGGAAAAATCAAAAAATAAATGTCTTTAAAAAAAAACTTGAAAATACACTTTAAAAAGTGTTGTTTACATTCTGAGACATATAACAAGTTGCCACCAGGGGGCGTTAGTAACACAGCAAAGAATCCTAATGCAATCCCCACAGGTCAGACCAGGAGGTCCAGCCTCACTCCCCAACAGCCTTCCTTCTACAGCAAGATTTGTTTCCCAAGATACCAGTAAATTAAATGACTCATTCACACTTAGTTCAGGTGAAACTGGGAGTAGAATGTTTTAATATCTACTGGAGGAAAACCTTATTTCCATTGGAAAGAATTCAGAAAAAATGTGGTATCATTTATAGGATTTATATGTTATCAGTATTTCACAGGACTAAATTATAGGAGAAGCTTCCAACTGGAGCATCATGGGCTTACAAAAACATGGATGTCTTAATTGGCAAAGAAATGGTGTTGCAATAATGTGCTGCTTTAGCCAGGCGTGGTTTTGAAGGCCTGCAATCCCAGCACTCGGAGAATGAGGCAGGATTTCGAGTTGGAGGCCAGCCTGGGAAACATTGAGACCCTGTCTCAAAAAACATGTATTACTGTTGCAAAGGCAACCGTTAAGGTGGGTTAAGGCTGAGGTTTGCTTTGCAGACTTTGTAAATGAGTTTCACTAGTTCTCTTATCTTTCCCATCTTGAAACTTTGATAGTTCTCTCACTTATTTTCAGGTCACATGCCTCCTCAGCATCTGTTAGAGATCTGCGACAAACGTACAGAGAACTCAGGAGCAAGAGAGTCTGCATGTGGGGTCACAGATGCGATAGTATTTTTTAAAAACTGGATTACTTAGGTTTACCGTTTCAAGGGTATCCGATAATCAATGCACAAAGGTTTTTAAAGCTTAAGCACTTTTCCTTATTCAATGAAGGGAACGTAGGTGATCCAAGACATAGCTGAATAAGGATCTCGGGTATTTTGGATTGTTTTATTTGAACTAGAGGCTCAGGGACGGAGCAGAACCCAGGTTTCTGTGTCAGGTAATTTCTCTTGTAATCAGGTAACATGAATTTAAAATCAGGATTTTTAAGCAGAACACCTTGTTCTACCACAACTGTCAATGAATGTTAATAAATAAAAATAAGCAAAAATGACATAGAACTGTGTCGAAGTACATCAGGTAAGATAGGTATACGTTTATTGTTGGTTTACTTAATAAAATACTGGAAAAATCTTTGTGTTTCAAAACCTGCCAAAGACAGGGTTTCAATTCTTGTTTAAAACAACCAGATTAGAGTCTTCCTTTCTGCCTTTGAATTCAACTGTCTTTCCTTTAGTGTTCCTTGTATTGTACAGAGACAAAGCCACTCTGAAAACATACACAGAATTTTAGCACCAAAGGCTGATGGCCCTTGTAAGCAAATGTATATTGTGCTTTTTCAAGCAATTTAAAGTTCAATATTGTATAGTCAAGGCTGACTAATTTATGAGGATAAATTTAGGGATGATTTCCATTCAAAGGGAAGAAGAAATTTCACCTTCAATATAAATGTAACCGCATCCCTCCACCTCCATTCCCTCTCCACCTTCGGCTGATTTTGTAACTTAGAACTTTTTCTAAGATTACTAGAAATCTTACAAATGAATCTGCACATAGTTAAGAAATGAAGCCAAGAATTATCCAAAAGATTCAGTAGCACTAAATAATGTACTAAATCTGACAGTATTAAATCTGATCAGATTTTAAAAACCATCTTTTTTTGCATTACTTGGAAATAAATTCCCCTTTCCTGTGTAGCTGTAACTGTCCAAAATGCCAATGTTAACAGTATATTACAGTGCAGCACCATTGCTAATTTTCACAGGGTAAGTCAGATTGCTCAGTGGTGGTATATGTCCTTAGGAACAGTTTGTGGAGAGCCAAGTCTCCTTCTAAAAAGGCCAGGAAACATAAACCTTCAGGCTCCAATTCGCTCTTTGTATAACTAATAAGAAATCATTTTAAATGAAATGTGCCCAAATGTCTCTCTGAGTTCCAGTCAGGAGTCTTAAACCTTACACCAGTGCGCCAGCTGGAAGGGGAAAACACTCGTTTCCCCGAGGAGTGTGAGCATCAGTTCACACACATCTTTTCAGCCTGTGCTCGTACAGCTGGCAGCCCTGGGGTCCCAGATGCCTCCTTGCCAAGCAGGCAGCACCTGAAGTGTGTATCGAGTACTATTCCTTAGCACAGTGAGCCCCAGTGCTTCCTGTGATCTGTCACAGAAGCTTTAAAGTGAAATATTACACATGTGAAAACAAACATGGGAGTGTCAAACATTTTCATATTTCCTTGAATCACCTTTCTTTTTGAAAAAATAAAATAATGAGTTAAAAAAAAAAAAAGAGAGAGAAAGTGATACATAGTGCATTGGGTGTAGCAGCAGAGGGCACTCACAGACCTCACTGTAACCTTCCCTGTGACAGGGTAGAAACAAAGTGCACTTGAACTTGACTCCAGCCATAGACTGATTGCCCCTTTCAGAGCCTCCCTCTAAAAAGCATTCTCAACATTAGCTTATTGTATCTACACAGTGGCCATTTATATCCAGATATTTTATTCAAAACATTAACAATTTCTTCTGACCTTGGAGGGAAAAATCCTGAAAAAATGCTGAAATAGAGGATTTTAGTGGAGAAAGAATAAGCAGAGGAATAATATGTTCTTTGGCACCTCTTTTTAAAATCCCAGTTTGGGAGCGTGTCACCAATGAATGAGGAGCTACAGGAAAATATATCTTTCTCAGGATGAATTAAAAAACCAGTCAAAAGGTAATACTTCGTTCATCTTTCCAATCATTTACACAAAATTTGGTCCACTTCTTCATATACCAGTCAGTTCTCCTAAAATAAAAACAAAGCTATCCCTTTGGTTACAGCATGAAACTCTTTTTGGTGTAAGGGCTGATGCCTCTGTTGGCCCTCAGGTAGACTTCTCATTGTCCTCGCCAATCTTCTGGACCCGGGAATACTTTTTGCATGATGACTTGAAGCAGCCAGGAGGCCAGGAGAGTGGCCAAGAGAAGCAGCAAGGAATTGGGCCTTGTACATTTTTCTCAAAAAAATAAAAGATGGGGAACCACCATGCTCGAGACAAGAAATTAGTCTGTGAAGAGACCTTCAAGTTCTGTAAAAGGTAGGAAAAAAGCAAAATGAGACATATTTGATGAGTTGCACTCTATTATTCTTAAGTACATAGCCATTCATTAAAAATTAACAGGGGAAACAGAATCGAGATCCTATGGCAGTAACTGCACTCATGCCTTTTCCCTAACTCCGCCACGACAAGTCTGGTCCCCAACACACTAATGTACCCTTTTCTCTCTGTTTCTCCTGCCTACAGTAAGAATGGAGGCTCAGGAATGGATGTGGCAGGTATTCAGGAGGAATGATATGTAGGCTATGTTGTGGTCAAATCTAGGGGACAAGGAAAAGTGAAAGAAGAGCTTAGAAGACTGAACATATTTAAGAGGAAAGAAGAAAATTTTGGCTCAGTGGGGTCAGGAGGCATCTAGATGAAAATGTAAGAAGGTAGATGAGAGCCCACAGAATACAAGAGAAATAAAAGAATCCATTGGAAGAGCATTTATCAGTGGACATGAAGAGTTCAAAGTGGTCCTTCAGGAGTGACTACTAATTGCTTACAATGATCTGAACGTATGCACCAGACAACATGGTAAAGTCTCTTCAGAGATAAGTCAGTCATGGTCCACATACCAACTCTATTATGCCAAGGACACACACAAGACTGGAAAGACAGGGAAAGGGGGTATAAGTCAACCTTGGGCCTAGAGGAAGAGCACAGGAGTTGGGAAAGCTTCCCCAAAAAGGGGCCATTTGAGCAAGCTTTTTTAAGAATGGATGAGAGTAGAAAGGAGAGGTCTTCTGGAAACAGGAAGAAGCAGAAGCAAGGACGGATAAAAAAGGAAGGCACAGGGCACCAATCACCAAAGATGTAACAACTCCAATAATTTATAAGCTTTTTTGTTTGCCCTTAAAAAATAGCTGTCATCTTTCCCTCAAAATTAGGTTCTTTAGGGACAGGGAGCCTGTCTTCTTCCCAAGCTGTACAGCCATGCTGTCACAAAGAAGGTTCTAGATTTTAATGTAGCATATATATTGAGTTCTACTATAACTCAGGTGATACTGAGTAATTCTACAGCATTTCAGTAAGTTATGTTTAAGTGAACTGACCAAACCACGCTCCTGGGTTGCCACAGTGGTCATTCCCGTGACACTACCTAATATCCCACTTTTTGGAAAGGGTCCACTGCATATAAAGGAAAGGAGTCACCCAAGGACCTTCACTGCTCTCACCTTTTCATTGGCCATTGCATGGTACCACCAAAACAGTCGAGTTGTGATGTAATATGCAATAATCACATCAACAGTGTAGTGTTCGTGTGCTACAAGGATGCAGATGATCCCGGCAGCACTCAGCAGCCAGCAGATTAAGTGATACCACCAGAAGTGACGAGGCGAATCTGGACAGTGGAAAAATTACAGTTAATAAGATTCCCAGAATTTATACCTCATTCATTTATTTGTAGTGCTGGGGATCAAACCTACGGCCTTACACATGCTAAGCTCACAACTCAGCTCTAATCCCAGTTTCCAGAGATTAATTTCATGATTACAATTTGTCCTAATGACCTTAAGTAGAATAAGCTAGCATTATTACTGGAAGGAGAAAACTGCTAGCCCAAAATGAGTCACTATGAACCACCTGGGATTTGCTCAGGTAGGAAAGGGGAAAAGAGGACCACTGGTAGCAGGTACAATAATCCTTACTGGGGGAAGGGTAGTGGTAACAGATATTCTAGGCTTTGTCCACCACTAATAAACCATTTAAAGAGGAAGAGAACGGATTGTTTATTAGATTGACTGGAATTGGCTCCGACTGGCTGACACATTAAGTGTATTGCAAAGAGAAACAGTAGGGGGTCAAAGGAAAGGTGGCTATCTAGGAAGATCAATGAAAAAGCAAGAATAATACGAGCTCTTAAATTTACCTTCGTTTCTCCAGGCGTGTTTGGGGGTTGGGATGAAGAATGGCATTGTGACAAGTAGCATTTTGATTCTCAGCAATTCTGTTACCTTATTGACAACAGCACTATGAAGCACTCCCTAGTTCAGAGCCATTCATTGTGGTGCACACCTGTAATCCTAGCACTCGGGAGGCTGAGGCAGGGAGATCACAAGGGTGAGGCCAGCCTAAGCTGTATAGTTAAGACTTTACTTAAAAAATAAAACACACACTCAGTATTCTTGCCAATCTACTTCTGGACTGTTAACCTTTCTGGCAAAGCCACCAAGAAGTGCATACCGTTGACCAGCTGCAAAAGAACTGCATTACAAACCAGGTTAACATGGTCCCACACCCCACGGCCTTCTCACGCGTGCTAATAACAGATGCAGTTGGAACCCATTTATCTCTAATTACTTGGCCATCTGTTTCTTTTCTTTTCTTCTATTTTAAGCTTTATTGTCTCACAAAAAGTTTAATAATCCAATAAACAAATTTATTTCATATTGAACTTTGTTTATATTTATTGTGATAGTTTCAAGTGTAGAAGAATGACAAATAACAAAACCATGTGTTTCTAAAACTTAAAATGCCCGATCAGTTATCACCCATAGAAAAACTGAGTTTTGGTAAAACAGCCTTTCTGTTAGTTCCAAGTAGAACAGTAAGAAAGTAAACCCATATTTGTATTTGAAAGTCTGATTTTCTAAATTTGGATATGCTCTCATTATTTCTCAATTGCTTCATCCTGTCACTAAGTTCTCCAAGACAACTCACAGAATCCTAGAATTTTAATGTTGAAGAGGCCTCATGCTTACAGCTTGGGGCCAGATCCAGTTCCCACTGCCATTCTGCTAGGCCAGAATGTAAAAAACTGAAGCTGCACTGAGAGCCGTGGAGGCCCCATGAGAAATCTCATTCTCTCGCATCCAGAGCCCAGCACTCCCTAAGGTCTTACGCCAACCCTGCTTCCCTCCTATGAGTCACCGCTTACTTATTAACAGTCCACAATGTGTGGACCCACCACAACTATTTTGAATTTGTTAGTCACAAGAAGCAAAGCTGAAGTAGGTAAGGAGTAAGGAGGTGCCTGAATGATCATCTTACTACCCAGGGAATTTAAGAGTGGCTGGAAACCCTAGCCGTACTCTCCTTTAAACATGGATTTTCTATGGCGCCACCACATTGAGACCACTACTTACTAACACTGGCTGAGCTTCTCCCCTACTACACACAAAAGGTAGAAGCCTTTTTTGTGGTGGTTCTGAGACAGGGTCTCACCACATAGCCCAGGCTTGCCTTGAACTCATGGTCCTCCTGCCCCAGCTTCCCCAGTGCTAGGATTACAGGTGTGACCTATCACTCCTGCCTATTAGAAGCTATTTTGAAATAGAAATGGCAAAATGGAAATCCTCTTTGCATTCTTATTCTACCCACAGGGATAACATTGAGCTCAAAGATGATGACACAAACAATAATGGGCTTTGCCATTAGTGTGGAATCTTGGACATAGTTGGCATTGAACAATAGACACATTGGAGTTGGTGTTGGGAGCAAAGGTTTGTAAAAATGGCTCTTGATTAGTCAAATATTTGATATTAATAGCATGGCAGATTTCTCTAGGTGAATTTTATAAGGAATCCAGGACCCAGTGGTAATATTTGCATAATTGGATAAATCCCTCTCTCATTAACCCACAAAATGGTCCTGTTCCCACATTTTAATATGGTCTCACAACTAAATTTAAAATCATTTATCACAACAGAGCAAACAAGGGAAGAGTCTAAGCTGATCAAAAGGCAGGGGAGCAAATCATATATAAGCAATGCATCTAATTCTAGAAGCAGACTTTTCAAAGAAACCCCAGGAAACACTGCTTACTCAGAACAATACCACATGGTGTAATTTAGAAGATGACTTTTCTCTAATTGCAGAGGAAATAGGCCTAAACATGGAATTCCCTATTTATGTACAGAACTGACTACAAAGATTAGTTTGTAATAAACAGTATAGATTTGTCATTTTATTTCTTACCAAAAATTAGAAAAAGAATGTCATTCTTTCCATATTATACATAAACTTACACAGTTTTAAATAACCCCATGCCAAAATCACATTGTAGGGGGAAAATGTGTCTACATATGATGAGACTTTATTAAAGTATAAAATTAACCACAAGTTGCTCTGCTATTACTCTAAGGTGAAAGAACATAATAAATATACCCTGCTTATGAAAAAGTAGACCATTTCTAGACAACTTAAATTTCTAAAAATTCTAAATAGAGCCAATAAATTAAGACCATAACCTGTAAAGTCAACCTCCTGGAGTATGAATACCTGATCCTCCAAATTCTAGCTGTGGAACATGGCCAAGTCACTTTCTCTACACTTAAGTAGAGAAATGGGGGAAAAGAATAACCTCCATCATGGAGGAGTGGCAAGGATTGAGTTAATTTGCACCACTGGCTTAGATAGTGCCTGGCATGGAAGTCATCTATATTCTATCAGTTAACGTCACTGTCTTCAGTTATTTTTTGAAAACTGCCATCAGTTTCCTGGGTTGCTTTCTCTTCATTACTTTATAGTTTTCAATCCATAGTGGTTTCACCAACTTCTTCTCACCCATCGTCTTCCATAAGCTTCTTATGATCCTTAGGTGAGAGAGAAGACCCTGCAACCTACACATACCTCTGTACTAGAAAATGATCAATGCTATACAGATGGAATTTGCCTTGGACAAATGTTAGAATGAGAAACATAAGCAACACACACCTCCAGAACCAGTAACTAGGTATTACAAATGTGGTGGTTAAATTTAAAGAAGAGACCATCCCCTGATGTTGGTACAGAGACAGATTTTGGCCCAGCTTTCCCCACCTTTTCCCCCCCGTATGAGTGGAAATAAGGGACAGATGTAGAGGCCTGTGACCTTTAAATCAAAGATGATGAAGATCCCACGCTTAGCTAACCCCATAAGAAAGGGCAAAGCAAGGAGGATGGGGCAGAGGCCTTTATCTGCAGGTCTCTGCCCAAAGCTCTTCTAAGTGCTGAGAACTGAGATGAGTCTCTGCAAACACTGGCATGGGGCATCTTAGAACTACAGATGATGGACACCCAAGAGCTTTGTGGGAAAAGAGAAAAAAAAGATGAAGAAAAGCTACTGGAAACAAGGATTTTATATAATGGGAAATAAGGATATAAATACAGAAACATGTTTCTTAAGAAGAAAATAATTAGTATTGGCAAAACGCTGCATCAGGAAGCCTTGTAAAGCAGAGAAGTTGCTGTAAATGGTGAAATGGACCAAAGTAGGACCAGGAAACAGGTTTAAAGGGGAAACACTTGAACGAGTTATTTAGAATCCTGGAATGGCAGCATCATTTACATTTGACTTTAGAATAATGCAAAGGTCGTTTACATTTGGCTTTCAAATGCACTGATTCTTTTTGCAATCAATTTGATGTTTATGTTCTTCTTATTTCCAATATTAAGATAGGTTTTCTTACCTTAAAAAGTACTAACCAAGAAGTGAGATGTTTGGGAGCCATGCTAAATGCTAAAGAGGGGTTAGCATTGGGGTTTTAAGATTTTAGTGTTCAAATCACAAATGACTAGTCAAAATGACAAGATACCCACAAATGTGCACATGAATGTACACACAGACATACACAACTACTTATACCTGTCCCTCTCATAGCTAAAAGTCCAATAGAATAAGGACTCCTATCAGTTTCAAGGCCTAGGGACCCCTCCCACCACAGCAATCAATTCAGCGGGGGTGAGCTGTTACTTACATTCTTTGATGAACAAGTAAGTGAGCGTCAGTACAACTGTGTGACCACTGAAGAGGAAGTCTCCACACAGGATGTGTGATCCAGTTATGGACAACCCACCACCAGAAATCAATCGTAGAATCCGTTGTATTTTTGCCTGAGAGTCTCCGTTGAGCTGAATGACACAAGATGATTCAGAAGAAAATTTACCAGCTGGTAAAATCGTGTTTCGGTATAATTTTATGACACATAGAAAGGTCACCAGGTTGTGAATTTTTTTTTCCCTTTAACCTAAAAAAGCCAAAAAGAATCTGAGGGGAAACTCCTCGAACTCGGTTCAGTTCATTGTATTGGCTAGTTTTATTGACACATTTTAAATTATTCAGTGTGTTACTAATAATATATTTTGGTGGTATTATGTCCTTGGGCAAAGCTTTTAAAAATATTAATAACCAATGACTTCACAGTGCTGCACTAAAAAAGCAGATCAAAGCTACTTTCTTTCCTTTTTGCAGGGGAGGAAGGTTTTGGACAGTTAATATTTGATTCAGCTGCATACCACGTTACTAATATTCTACAGTGCACTGGTACCTTATATTAAGTGTATTAATGTCTCAAGTGTATTAATGTCTGATTATAACATTTACGGCTAGAAAGAGGAGCTGCCACTGACGAAATAATCTAAGTTTGAAAAGGACAGATTGGGGATTGTACTGACAGCTTTAAAAATGCGTAGCTTTGGTCAGGAGAAACACCCTCCCAAAGAACCTGTGTGCTATGGCAGGGGGTCAGGACAGCACACACTTGGCCATGGGTTGGAAGCCCTTAGAAACCACAGTGATGGCATGGGATGTAAGATGGACTGGGGCAGGAATTTCAGGCAATGGTCAACAATTTATACACTATTAAAATTTAAGCCTACAGGAAGGAGTTTTGGTCAGAAAGAAGGCGTGGAAAACTGAAACACACAAACTCTGGAGGCCTAGATGGAGGGTTTCAACCAGCCTAGTACAAGGCAAAACAGACTTAGAAAATCAAAGAAGGATACTCAGGATGGGATCCGGTAATAATACACATGGAAGAGAAATGCAGGAAGACCATTGCTAACTATTTATTTGGGACCTGAAAGACAGGTGTATGACATGCTGCCTTTTGTACTCAATGCTGAGCCTTTTGACCAACTGGCCCCCAAAACATGGCCAGTCTGGCCACAATAGTAGTTAGGATTCATTCCCGAGGAAGACACGAGAACTGTTAACAGACTGCACAAGTCACCCAGAAGTACGCATTCAAAAAACTACATAGCATGGGACTCATCCTTGATATTGAGGATACAATCAAGCCATGTGTTTTATCAGATCAGTCACCATCCTTCAGGACTTTGTCATGAGCTTGGTACAAACACCTATCAACGCTGAGATCGAATAAAAGGCACACACACTCTGCACAACCATTTTAACTGCTCCCAGTTTAAAAGGACACATTATTCTTCATTTCAAAACCACTATGTTTTTTTTTCGCCACTCACTCATCTCAACTCTATACTCTAATTTTCTGAAGGCAGAGGCAATTAAAGCCATCAGTCCTTTACTTAGGGTCAGATGGGGTCAGGTATAAACAAGCCAAACCACACACCCCCTTCCCTCCCTCTCTGATCAGCAGTGTTGGATCCCTTATCCATGGCTTTGCTTTTTGAGGTCTGTTACTCAGTCAACCACAGTTTGAAAATATTAAATGGAAAGTTCCCCAAAAAACAATTCACAAGTTTAAATAACTTTTAATTACAATATATTGGAACACTTTTCCTATTTTATCATTAGTTATTTTTAATCTCTTATTGTGCCTAACTTATAAATTAAACACAATAATAATGAATGTACTGGAAAAAACTGTATTTGCACTGTCTGCAGTTTCAGGCATCCATTGGGTGTTTTGGAATATACCCTCCTGATAAGGAGGACTACTGATAGCATTTGTTGAGGTACACATTTACAGAACGGAAAAAGGAGTCTCTTCTTGCTTTTTTAGTTCATAATTCTTCAGTCCCATCACTGCTAATTCTGAGACGTGAGATCATGTTTAATATAAATGCTAAGTAAAACCTCAAGAGACAAAAGGAGAATAGCAAGGTTAAAGTTACTGGATTTTTTTCTCTAGTTCTGTTCCAGTTTGTTGGGGTCCTCCCTTCACACATTGCATTTGACTCTCCTTCCTGCTCATTTCCCTGCTTATAGACACCAGTCTATGCAGTTACTGGATATGAAACTGAAGATGCAGAAACCTAAGAAGAGAAGCATCAACCAAAGCAGCTAAAGCAGATGGGGGCTCCGATGTCCTCAAGGGCCCTGCAACTGTGACCTCCACCTGCCACTTTCCACAAAAGTGAATTAGGTACAGGACAGTCCAATGTAGCTGCTACCAGATGAGAAATCTGACCTCGGCAATGCCCTTCAATTAAGAAGAGAGGCTCTTTGGCCATCCATGGCCATGGTGAAAGAGAGAACCAGTCCCAAAAGGCTTTCTCAGGGCAGCCAAACATTCTTGTATGTGGCAAAATGATTTGGAAAAATGAAATTCTTTACTGAACCATTTCATAATAAGTGGGCCAATGTTTACCTAAATACACTTTGAAGCACACAAATATTCTGATTGCAAACTAAACTGTAAGCAAGGGGACTTAAAGTGAGACGTAGGATAGGTGAGGAAGAAGACAACTAGAAAACTGTGAAGGCCATGGATCTCACTGTGACACTCTGGAGGGCAACAACCTGTACAAGGTATCGGTGACTAGATGGGATGCCCTCTCATGGAGACTGGACCTCTGTCCTTGGCTGAGCCTGAAGGACATTCGACAGAGTCAGCAACCCAGGAAACAGGTAGATTATCTAAGAACCTTGTAACCACAAGAATCTCAGCAGATGGACCAAATTTAGCACACAAACCTAGATCCTCTTCCACAATACCACATTTCAGGTGAGACGGAGTGATCCGTGTGTGCTTTACCAAACCGAGATCAGGGCACCTACAGCCTGCTTGTGCTTCAGGAAGAGGTGACAACTGAACACGGCAGATGATTAGTGAGGAAGCTTCCGGAGTTTCCATCAGGAGTGTTTGTGGCTTGGTTATCCCATGGCCTGTTTACTGATGTGGCTTCCAAAAATTGCAGCTCTTCCATGGAGAGCAATCTTTAATTAACTTTCTTTCTGTAATCACAGCAATTCGTTCCTGTAAACCTCATCTGTTACCAGGATGGGCTTGCCCTTCTTTCTGAGGCCATTTCTCCACTGAACACATGGCAGTAGCCCATCACAAGTGTTTATTATGCTTCCCAACTCCTCCCATGTCTTAAATTAGTTTCATTAAAAATCAGCCAATGTTTAAATTCAATATGTACACTGTTTTAATTAGGGACACTTTCTGCTTTGATGGCTTTGGAAAATTATAACTTCTCCAAACCACACCTATATTTGGTAAGGGAGACGTCTGGCTTCTTAGAACAACTCTATTTTTCTTTTACCTCAGACATCTGCTTTGTGTTCAGTAAAATGTTAGGCCTCATTCCTTTGTCCAGAAAGGACATGATTTGTAAGTTTCCATATTAAAAACCAGGGAGTACAGGGTCAAAGGTAATTAACAGCCTTCTCGTGAACGGACGTGACATGCGAAAACTGTAATTCTTGCCTAGGACAGTTACAATAGATGCCCTCACACTATGTCTGTAAAAGGCCACTCCATCTTTCCAATTGCTAAAGTCTTTGGGATCATCCTTGACTTCCCACTCTCAAACCCATCTCCAAATTATTAACACATTCTGTTGATCCTACCTTCAAAATGAATCCTAAACTGAGTGACTTCTCGTGGCTTCCACAGCCACCCCCAATTTAAATTCCTACAACGGCTAATCATTCACCATCCCAACTCCCTGCTCTTTAACCCAGTCTGACTAAGCTATTTTCTTGACCCGCAACTCTCATCCCATCTGGCTTACGCTGTCATTGGCCCCTGCTCAAATGCTTCCTTATTAAAGAAGTTTTTCCAGACATTTGTATAAAATAGTTGCTACCTTCATACTGCTCTTTGTCTGACAATCATCTGACTTCTTATTATGGGATACACTATGAATTTATTTAGTATTTTTCATCCATCAGTAGGTTACAAGCTCCAAGGAAGGGACTTTGTTTTGGTTACCACAGTGTCTGATACATAATCACAATACTCACTGAATGAATGCATGAAGGTATGAGTATATGAGAAGGTTAAAAAAAGCAGAAACTCAAACAATGATAATCTTCAGTTAGTAGAAAATGAATTCTTACATAAAGATGTACATTTCTTAATGAATACCTTTTAATTTCTTTCCCCCAGTCTAAAAAACATAGAAAACATCCTAGTTCTCAGCTAACCTCTATGAAAGTGCACAGAAGAGTACATGGTAGAGTAGGTAGGTGTCCATGTGTCGATAACTGTTTCATTGATTTCCTCTAAGTGGAACCCAGAGGCTTACCTTTGGAGCACACTGGAAATGCATTCCAGGCACAGGGAGAGTGGTAACATACATCGTAACACAGCGATACATATATAAAGTTCCAATGATAAAAAAGAATCTGCGTCCCACTATTGACCTAAAGGAAAAACAGGCATGGGGTAAATGAACTTACCAGTTATAGAAAATGATGTCTAACCAACTAAGGAATCATTAGGACAGAATGGCATTCATTAACAACTTGAGATTTACAGAGTTTGAAGGCTTACTTGTGAGTTGCCCATCCTTCAGTTCCATGGCGAGACTGCTCCCTGGTTTGCAGAAATGAAGATTCACACACAGAAAGTACATCTAGGTGGTTTGGGGCCCAAAAGGACAAAGTGTGTGGGGTGAGGAGGAGCTAAAGTAGACTAAAAATCTAGACAATCCCTTCTAAAAATGTTACTCTTAGCCAGAGAATTCAGTGAAGCTCTCTATATTTTCAGTCAACTCGCTGATTAATAAAACCCTCCGGAGAACATACCAAAGTTGCAAGTGAGCCACAGTCACAGAGGAATACACTAATGAACCAGGTGATATTACCTAATTAGACACATAGGGAGATGTGACAACCCATTAAACCCAAGTTATATAAGCAAGGTTTATTTGGGGACCATTCAAAGGAATTTTAACAACTTGGGCATGAACTAATTTCTCTAATGAAACAGGTGTTCAGAGAATGCCATTTTGAGCTTGTTAAATGTGTCCTGCTGTACTTCAGGGCATTCCAGAGTGAAGCTGCAAATAGATTGATTTCATCTTTATTATTCAATCTTTATTTTAAAAGGCAAGGGGAAATGGGAATGCAGGGGTTTTGCTGTTATTCCTTTTGTGAACAAGATTTCATTCCCATATTCACTGCAGCACTATTCACCATAACCAAAAGATGGAAACCTCAGTATCTATCAGTTAATGAATGGGTACAGAATGTGTGGCATATATGCCAACAGAATACTATTCAGCCACAAAAAGAATGCAATCCTGTTATTTGCAGCAACGTGGATGGATGAAAGAAGCCAGGCATATAGAGACAAGAACCACGTGATTTTACTCCTTTGTGGAATCTAAAAAGTTGATCTCATAGTAGCTGGGGATAGAATGGTAGTTACCAGAGGCTGAGGGGAGCACAGGGGAGAGAGGCAGGGGGAAAAGCTGGCCAATGTGTACTAAATTATAGTTAGGAGTAAGAAGTTCTGGTGAGCTACTTCCCTGCATGGGAAAGCTCTTTATTTCAAAAGAGCTAGAAGAAAGGATTTTTGAATATTTCAACCATAAAGAAATGACAAGTGAGGAGATAGCAATATTTAACCTGATTTAAATATTAGACAACGTATACTCATATCAAAACATCCCTTGGTACTCCATTAATGTGTCCAGTTTTTTTGTGTTTTTATGTGTCAGTTAAAGATAAATTTAAAAAAACAGGCTGAGAAATAAAAGGCAAAAAAGAAAACAAAAAGCAAATTAAAAAATCCCAAGTCCCTTTTCGCTTTATAGTTTTTGTGGTGATAGCTATCTTGACTAATGTTAGGTCCCCCATCTTCTTTACCCTAGTCTCCAGCCCCCATGGTACCTAAATGGACAGCAAGGGCCTAAGCATCCTCAAAAAAACAAAACAAAACAAAAAAAACCTCATAGGCCACTTTTGATTGTTAGGATGGTTTGTAAGCTGGGGCTCTGAGGGTGGGAAAATGAGTGGGGATCCTTAAACCCTAGGATTGCTAGTTGTCATTTCTCTAGAACATAAAATGTATTATCCAGGTCTCCCACTCTTGGAGTCCGCACACTTTCCAATCGAACACTGATCAAAGACTTCTAGAAAAGCAAGCAGTTTGAGGCATGGGGCACATTTTAAATTCTCTCCAAGACTGTGGTTCTGACATGGACCAAGGTCTCAGTCAGGTAACTGTTGGGACTTCTGATTTAAAGCATTATGTACAAATACATATTTTAGCTGCCTGTCACCAATAAGCTATTTTAAGAAGATTCCAGGCTAAAAAAAAAAAAATAGAAAGGAACACCAGCTAGAATGGTAGCTGAAAGTATCCCTTTATTCCAAGGCTTGCTTTCATAGCTCTGCCTTTTTTAGTACAGAAAAAGAACAAGTAGTCAACAGTGCTGAATCTCTCCCTTTGGTTAAGTGAAAGCAAATCAGCCTTTGATTCACCCCCAGGCCCCACAGGACTGCTGTTTTGATTGAGCTCCATGCTGTTAGACAAGGTCAAGTAATAAGTAGAAATTATTATGAGTCAATTATATTCATTCCAGCACTCTGAGTTCATCTGCACTCAGACAAAAACTTAACTTAGGTAAAATGTACCCTCTGCAGCCTTATTTAGAAAAAGAACCACTGCTCCTGAGCCCCCCTGTCTCCCCTGCCCCAGTAGCTTTGAAAGGTGTTTTTAAAAAGAGAGACAGCAAGTAGAAGTTCTCATTTGGCTGGATATTCAAAGCAGGTTATAAGAATTATTCCCACAGTTACTAATTTCTAAGGTCCAACTCTACCTCAAAAGCAAAAGAGCAAACTAGTGTAATTTGTGGCTGAAACTGTGGATATCACTAATGCATGATTCAGGCATGTGACCATGACATGGTGAAATCTAATGTGGTAACAGAGAAGTGTTAATAACATCTAGATGGTGATTCAAATAAACTAAGGTAAAGACACTACTCCAGGAGGGAGTCCAGCTACTTACCAGACTCTGGACAATTTCTCTTTTCACATACCTATGAATAAAACTCTGCTGTTTTATTAAAGGAGAAACCAAGCATCTGTGACTAAGCAGGTTCAGTGTCAATTCCAGACACCAAAAAGAAAAACACTAAGGTTCAACAAGTATAATCTTTGCTTTTATTTGTTTGATTTAGCAGTACTGGGGTTTGAACTCAGGACCTTGCACCTGCAAGGCAGGAGCTCCATCACGTGAGCTACTCCACCAGCCCTTATTCTTTGCTTTTAGAATAAACCATAACTAATGCTTGCAGAAGTAGTTTGCTTCTAAGTAAAAGGCAGTTGATTGCTCTGTGTTTCATTTAAGCATATTTAGGAATCATTTTAAGACAGTTATATTAAGGAAAATGATTAGGAATTACTTCAGTTTGTAGAATAAGTTTTCAAAACTGTAGAGTCACAATTGGGAAAGTCTTTGGCAAGGACTGGTTGAATTCCTCTAATCATGAAACAACCACATACAACATGAACTCTGTTCTAAAATGATCTTGTAGCATTAATACTGGAATCTTATTTGACTTTGAATTTGTAAGATATATCAACTAAGTTAGCATTCATTCTATTTTTTAAAGTCTAAGATTATGGGTAGTATTTTGATTAAACACTTATTTTAGGAATTTAATTATCAGAATCCTAGTAGAAAGCAAACATGAGTGATGAGAAGGGAGATTTGAAGGTTCTTCATTTTTCTGAACTAGAAGTCAAGATTCACAGAGAGGCCAAAACAACCACTTCAGAATTGTGTCCAATTTTTAAGTATTTTAAAAGCAAAAAGACCTGCTTTACTACTCCCTGATTTCCTAGTATTCCAAAATGGGTGGGAAGTAGAGTGACTGAACTCAGTGAACCATGGACTCCCTTGTGGTGGTGCCGAGAGAAAAAAAGGCAAGTTTACTTCAGAAATCTAAAACCCACAACATAGAGACCCAATTCTAAATTCAGTTTCTTCAAAAAAAACATTGGTGATTGAATGGCCAGTAGGAAAATGACACTAAACAATAACTCCCCAAAACTTGAGAACTTTTGAAGACTGGCAAACCTCAAAGTAGGCTATTGATGATAGACCAATTTAGTCATCTCATTATGAGTAAGGGAGAAAAAAGTTTCCCAGTCTGCTCCTCTCCCCACCTGTCAAGAGCCTGAAATAACACAAGTATGAAGAAGTACATGTTATTCCTTTCCAAGCCTCTTGATTTATTGTCAAATACCACAGCACCAAGTTACTGGAAAACAGACACTGTACCTTAAATGCATCAACTCTGAGTCACCCACCGCAGGACTGCTGTACACCTGCCACTTTCATATCTAGTGCTCCATGCACACTGAATTTAGTCGGTATGGTAGATTTACTGTTTTCTTTCATCAAACATTAGGAAAGAAAGACTGAGAAAAGTAATTTCAGTTACAATGACATCTACTCTCTTAACAACCAACCAACAGCAAACCCAAAACACACACTTACTTGTATCTCAGAAACAGCCACTGGGTGATCCATAATCCAACCAATATAATTCCATTTATTTCTGATACAGAAAATGCCCATTTCACCCGATCAATGTAATCAAAAAACTTGTCTGGGAGTGGAGGGCTGAGCTCTTTGGGAGGGACCCTCTCGTGCACGACTGTGATCATGACAGTTGTCAAGACGAGGTTGAAGAGTGCATACACGAAGGCAATGCCCGTTTTCCACCACTCCAGGGGAAACTTGTTCCTGGAGTCCGTGGGCATAGCAATTTGGATGTAGTCTGGGTACTTTTTGGTGCCCTTCCGAAGCCCGTTGGATAAGCTCTTAGGTTTACTGTTGCCATTTTTGTTTTCTTCTTCAACAGGCTCAGCAGGTCTTGTGTAAGTGTTTGTAGGATCATTGGTCTGATTTTCCAAATGTTCCTCAAGTTTTGCTGTCTCTATGGTATCCATTGTCCCCCAGTCTTCAGATCAAAAAGGAGATGTTAAAGTTGTTGCTCTCTGTGGAAACTTGACTTTTATAAATCCTTGTATTTCCAAGATCAACATGGACTCGTAGAATTTTGTTTCCTAACACTAAATGCAGACAGTAGCCATCTAGTTATTGTTTCTCCCATCAGCTATCTGCTGTACATCCACTGCTTTCACGAAAGGAAGCAAATTCTCCTTCCCCACAAAAGATGCTACTATTCCACCTAAAAAACAAAACAAAACTAGGTTCAGACACTATACTGATCCAATTATCAGCCATCCAAAACAAAAACATTCTCAAGATAAGGAAACAAATACCAAAGCCATCTGCTTTATAAAGCTATCATCAGAATATAGTTAATGCTGCTGAGATGGAATTTATTTTAAAAATATTGAATTGTCTAATCTTGGAATTCTTGTCTCTTTTTGAGCTGAGGTCGTTATAAATAGGAACATTTTTGCAATCAATTCCCTTTAAATTTCTTTACATAAAAGCCTGGACCTAGCATTGCAAGCACTTCATCAGACACTGTTACGTGTTGCTAACCATGAAGTCACAATAAGCTAGAACCTACCCAGAGATCACATAACTCCTTCCTGAGACTAGATCTTTTCTATGAAATTTAAAGAAGGGATTAAAAACACTGGTGAGTTACTTATGTGCACTGACGTATTATTTCTCTTTGCGTTTGTCAAAATAGTCTACTTTCTAATTTCCTTATTTTAAAAAAAATGTAGCTCTTTTGTGACCACTTACAAACAGATTCCAGAGCATCACACTCAAGGTATTTAAAACAGTACTGCCTCAGTTTATGCTTTTATATCCGGCAATGTATACTATGCGCAAAGAAAGCCTACAGCCTCTAAAATGCCAGTCAAAAGACACACAAAACCTTAGTTACGTCTCATTTAAGCAACAAGTAGAATTTGTCAAAGAATAAAATAATTTACTACAAACTAGTAACTAACAATGTTTTGATGCAACATCACAATTTCTACCAAACAACAGAAACTGACACTGGTGAACCCGTGTGGGGCACTTACCCACTGGGACACTAGGAAAGGGTATCTTTGGTTTAAGCTCCACAGGCTCCAAGGAGTAAAGACTTCTTTCCCACACAGAGTGCCACTCTTATACTTGCTAGCAACACAGCCTAGCTGTTCTCAATTTAGGAAAGCAGTATTTTAGTCATACACCGCAACCCAGGCACCTGAAGAGGTTTTTAAACCTTGTAATTAGACCCCACCCTAAGTACACTGCACAACTTTAGCATAATCCTTCAAGTTTTAAAACCCTCCCTTTTAGGGTAATTTCAGGAAAAATTAAGAAGGAGAAAAACTCATCATAGTGACAGCTAAACCTTTATTTAATGAAAGAAAAAGCTGAAATGGTTCAGTTAAGATGTACAGGCAATAATCACAACTATGGGTGGCAAACAGACCAAGAACAAGTGGGTTTTTTGTGCATCTAAATGTCCCAATGCTGAGGGATATGTGGGGGAAATTAAAAAAACAAAACCCAAAACACCTAAACATTCAGCCAAAGAGCTTACAGACTAACTGAAGAGCAGACTAGACTGTTGAAAGCTGAATAGAACATTGAGACTGGGGAAAGGAAGACCAGGGATGAACAGATCACAAGATAAAAGTGGAGGTTTAGTTGTGATGTATCCTGCTCTCCTCACAACAGGAATCCACATGTCCACAGCAGGAGCTAGGTTGGCCTGGAAGAGAAGTGGAAGGACAAGTGGCCTGAGGGGTTACTAACGTCCAACATCTTGCCTTCCTCTGTCCCCACAACCCCCTAGCTATTGATATACTGAAGCAGGATGAGAAAGTCCAGGGTCCCTCAGCCTGACAGATCCTCTCTGCAGTGCCCCAGCACAACAGTTTTAGGAAGAGAAGTGTAGTGAAGAGCTGCCTCGATAATCACTCCAGAAGCAAACCTTCAACGCCATGGACTTCTAAGGGAGCTGCCCAAGCACCAACCCAGCCGTTTCCCATCTTCCCCCTTCCAACTTTAGCCTAGTAGGCTGTAGTATCTTGCCAAACCATCATTTGAATTCCCTTCAATATCCCACATGGACTCCTAGCCTGCTGTTCCTGTGTGACAGACTCTTGTGTTTTGAAGCCCTCTTCACCAGTGGACAGAGATGAACTGTGTAAGGGAGCTACCTAGTTCTAGAACATAGAATGTAGAACTGAAGAAAATCCAATTAGTTACTGTTTTTTTTAAGAGGAAGTACTCAGGCTCCTATCTCAGGGGACAACCATGAGGATGACTGAAATAATTAATCATGAAGAGCTTCTGCCCCTGGGAAGAACGGCACCCTGTGAGTACAGGGCCTGTTTATTGTCATTAGTGGTAGCATTGACCTTTTCTTGGGATTTCATTAACAAGACTAAAGATACACAGCACATTCATCTTGTGTCAACCAACCTTGGGACTCAATGTTTGTCATCAAGATGAGGATTACAACATACTCACTCCTAGGTCATCCTTTCCTAGCAGTGCGTGGGAAAGTGACAAAGGCTGCAGTAATGACTTTGGATGGATGGCAGTTGTATTAGTTCATTTGTTTAGGTTACCATGCCAGAGCACACAGCACCTGCCAAGCTTCCCAAGTCTTCCCACGTTGCAAAATACTACAAGTTAACCTAGATAATATAAAAAATAAATTCAAGATCTCTTGAGAAAGCAAAAGCAAAACCTTGAAATTTTTAATACATTGATACTGTTTTCTTAGCATATTTTTAGAACTAAGTAGGATATGTTCAAGAAATGTAAGGATGGTTTAAAATTTAGAAGTGACTATAGCAAAATCTATCACAAACATGTCAAAAGAAAGGATATGATTATCTTGAACAAAATCAAAGGGGCCTTTGATAATTCAACATCCACTTGATTTTGTGGGGAAAAAGTAATCATTAGTAGGAATAGAAGTCTGTATAGCTACTTTCATCATCAATATCACAGTTTTAAAGTATATTATGTGCTCTGACATCCAGTGGAAAAAGTCCCCCACTGCCACTTGCTTCCCTTTTCAGTCCTAAATGAACTTCAGAAATTTTTATCAAGTTACAAACAAAAACAAAAAACTTACACCTCACTAGGTTTCTGTTTTACTTCTTATTGTTTTAGCCAATAAACATTGACCATAAAAAGAAAACAGGCAATTGAAAAGCACAAAAGAAATTATATATATATATACATATATATATTCAATCAGCTGTCTATCTGAAACATACAAAATTCACTTGGAAGGTACAGTTGTGTTTTCAAGTTAAACCCATACAACAGCTTCAGAATAGAAACAGCAATAATCAGTTAAAAAGCCTAATAAAAATATGGTCACACACCTGATCATTGGTTATTGAGATAGCTACTATACCAAAGATAAAAATGGCCTCAAATCCTAGAAAATAAAGTTCAGATCTTCCATGAAGAAAGCTATAAAATCAACACAGAAAGAGATAAAAGAAAACACAGAGTTATAACATTCACAGGAGAGAAGCTGAGATATCACATCATGACAGGCTTAATGTCACTGAGGGTACATTGTGGCCTTTACGAAAGTTCTTACAATATGTCAAATATATCACACTTGAATTCACCCATGCATCATTTTCCTTTATCCACTCTCCCCCATTCCTGGAATATTTCAACAGGTCTCATTTTTCCATTTACATACATGTGTACACAGTAATTGCACTGTATTCATCCTCACAGGCCCTTTCACCACATCCTCCCCCTCCCACTGGTACCAATCCTTCAGAAAGGAACTGTTCTGCCCTCCTGTTCTCCAGTTTGTACAAGAAAAGGAAATGACATTTTTATTTGTTTAAGATAGCTATTCAGGGAATTTCTTTGTGACATTTCCATGTATATATGTATTATAACCCAAATTGGTTCATCTCCTCTATTTTTCTCCTTTCTACCTTCACTTTCTTATGGTGATTTCAGCAGGTTTAAAAATTTTATATTCATTCTTATATAGAGAATACATCAACCATATTCACCTTCTTAACTTCCTTCTTTTACCCTCCCTCTCTTGTGTGTGACCTCCCCTTAGCATAACCTGTTTTTCATAATATTGCTTGTATTTGTATGAGGTCTATATTCCACATTTGAAGAAAACATGTGGCCTTTGGACATCTGAACCTGGCTAACTTCACTTACGATGGTGTTCTCCAGTTCCATCCACTTACCTGCAAATGACAAAATTTCATTCTTTGTGGCTGAGTAAAATTCCATTGTGTATAAATAGACACATTTTTTAATCCATATGTCAGTAGTGGGGCAGCTTGGCTGTTTCCATAGCTTGGCTATTGTGAATAATGCTGCAATAAACATGGATGCACATGTGCCTTTGTTGTAACCTAACTTACATTCCTTTGGGTATATCCCAAGGAGGGGATTGCTGGATCATAAGGCAGTTCCATTTTTAGTGTTTTGAGGAGCCTCCATACTGTTTTCCATAGTGGTTCTATGATTGTTTTAATAGTTACTTACAAGAGAATATTTGGAATTAGCCTAATATCTGAGTTAGGGGATTATTTCAATGAATTATGGTTACTCTAGCTTATGAAATACTACACAGTAATGCAGGATGACATCACTAATTGATGTCTGAAATGCCTCCAAACCCAAAACTTTTCTGCACTGACATGATACTGCACACCTGATGTTTCAGTGTACACAAATTTTACTTCATGCACAAATTAAAACGATTGTATAAGATTACCTTCAGGCTATGTGTATCAGCTATGTATGAAACACAAATGAATTTTGTGTTTAGACTTAGGTCTCACCAAAGGTATCTCATTATGCATACGCAAATATTCCAAAATCTGAAAATACTTCTGGTCTCAAGTTTTTCAAAAAAGGGATCTCTACCTATATAGCAAATATAAAACTGTAAGACAGATACAGAAATACCTTTTTTAAAAGAATATAGTTCCAATTAAGAAGAAACTTTGATTTGAATAGGATATGTAGAATCCTACATAGCAGAGGTTATAGTTTAAAAAAAAAATGGAAAGGAGCCCCAGGCTATCTTGTTACTCAAGTTTACAGGATGAAGTTCAAGTAGGAAAACTCATCATCATTCCCACAAGTCTCACTCCGCAGCTCCTTGAGGCCGGGTGAGCGTCTGCAGAGGTGACGGAGTCAAGGGCTCAAATGTGCTAGGCAAGTCCCGCTATCATGCATTTGAAGTCTTTA